GAGTTTTTCCTTTTTTTAAAAAAAAAAATTGGATATTTGTGATCATTAATCTATAAGGATATAATTTTTTTTTGGATAGTTGTGATCATTAATCTATATTCTATAAGGATATAATTTTCAAAAAAACTCAAAGTCAGTCTTGTGTGGTCTAAACAAAGACTTCAATGACGTCATTGACTCTGAAGACTGCAGGTTAAATGGTTAGGGTTATGGTATCAGACTTCCTATTGAAGAGGTCATAGTTCAAGGTCTTCATTATCCCTGGGGCTATCGTGTAATCAAAGGCGATGGGACCTCAACATAAGCAGGATGACCTTGATAATGACCTTAACCCCACGAACACGCTGTGACCTTGATCCCGCACGTGAGAGTGACCTTAACCCCACACAGTAACCTTAACTCAAGCGACCTCGAGTCTTTTGACTGGAACTGCTCACCTCTACTCACTCGACCCAAACCCCCCCCCCCCACCCCGGGTACTCCAAGACGGTCTCCGCCCAGCCGCTTGGCTAGCCCGACACTTGTGCTAACTCCGGCCAGCCGAACTGTGCTGGGTCTATGCAAATCGGCCGGAAATAAGTAGACGGCTTACGGCAGTCCGTGTGTGCGTGTGTGTGGAAAGGCTTTGCGCTTACTCTCCTAGCTAATCCCCTCTAATCCAAGCAATTTTATTTGTGGGCCCGAATTCATCACAGTCTAGCTTTAAGCGAGACAGTTGGAACTGAGCAAAGAGTCTCACCGCCTCGTTAATCTTCCATTCTTTCTATTCTAGGACGTCTGCCGCAAAAGTTGGGATTTTTTTTTTAATTGGAAGACACGACCTTTTTGTGTGGTTCTATTTAAAGGGTGTGTGGGTTGTGTTGATGTGTGTGGGAGACGAGTGTGTGTGTGTGTGTATTGTTGTGTCTGGCAGGCAGGCGACTTTTGAAAGAATGCTCCAGAAGAATGCATGTAAACCCCCACCCCACACAAAACAAATCTCCAATACACTTTTTTTTTTAGTTTTTTTTATACATGGGAATATAAACCTCACAAGTTTTATTTGTGATTTTATTTTCAAATAAAATTCACGCAACATTGATCTTATGGTGTATGTAGGTAGCTGATTTTAGTCGATGGGGTTCAAAAGGTTTAGACCTCACGTTAGTTTAGTAAAAATATGATAAAATACTCTCACCGCAAAAATGTGGGGTTAATCTAAGCTTTTGTTTCCGGGGATAACGCCAGAGTTATTCTTAAGGAGACAATTTAGATGGGGGGAGGGGAGGGGGTAGAAGTCAGCTGTTTTTCCCACCTCTTAAATTCCACTTTTCCATATTAAAGTCACAAACACGGGCCCGCCATCTTTAAGTCAGAAACAGCTTATTTACCGCCCCTCCCCCGGCCACCCCAAATTTCTTTTCTCGCCCAGACATTTTGCATCACCAAGCCCGAGGTTCGGGGTTGAGAATTAAGCCTAATCTTTTAAAAGAGCGGGTCCGCTGAGCTCATTTGCATACCCGCCCACCCTTATTTGCATGCCCGCCCTCCCTTATTTGCATAGAGACAAGCGCTAAACCCCGGGCTAATCCAAGGTACTCAGGCTAGGATCGAGACTACGGGAGCCACGTGACATAGCCTAACTCGTAAATAAGAAGAGCAATCAACTATTATTACCACTACATTCCTCCCCCCCCCACCCCCCACCACACACACAACGCAGCATCCTAAAACATACACCATCTGTAAACATTTTGTTCTCATTTTCAACAACATAAAAACATTTCGTGGATGAGAAACTCGTGTAAAAAAAAAAACCCCGATTAAAGATGTGATTCGGAGTCTGACTAGGCTTCTCAACTCTACACAGAACTACAAATGTGTTCTATTGTTGTCATACCTAAACTGCGACACGCTCTAATTTGCATTCGGACTAAGCTATTAGTTAGTTGTACTACCACCACAGGCAATCTCCGACAACTATTAGATACCGACTCTAATTATGCCAGTCCTTTGGTTATCTAATGGCATAACTTATTGTCTAAGAGATTATTCCGGTTCTGACCAGTGTGACCTTTTCAGTTAAAAAAAAAATCGACGGAGGGCGACCATGCCGTCCCCCCAAATCTATGCATTGTTTATTAAGGGTCAATGCTTTTTTCTGGAAAATACTGACGAATAACAGGGCTTGTGTGGGGCTGTATGGGGGGGGGGTGTTTCTAACTTCTGTCCATTCTCATAAAAACTGGTCAGTAGTCAAGAAAAATTTGGAGTTGTCTTATGCTACGAATTTTAATTTTTTTTTTGTGAGATTAAAACTGACTACAATAGTCATAACTCAAAGAGACTTAAGTTACAAGTAGCAATTTAAAGCCATATTAGACATAACATTAAATTTGATTCAATGCGAAATTAGTTAACGCGTGGAAATATCTATAACAAGATTTATGACGATCCATCTAAATTCACTATCACGATAGTAGATATAACAAATATGAGATATAATGTGTACCGAAGTCGACAAACAAACGATTCAGCGCTGTAGATCAAACTTGGGATCAAACTCTGGAGTTCTTTAGCCAAGTCCAAAGCCATCATCATTTAACGCCGATCAGTTTATTGCTCAGTCATTGCCAGATATAGATCTGAATATGTTGACTGCAGTCAAGTTAGATATCGGGTTATATTGACTGCAGTCAAGTTAGAGATTTGGTTATGTCAGGGGTCGGCAACCTGCGGCTCGCGAGCCGCATGCGGCTCTTTTGATATCAAGATGCGGCTCTCCAGCTCCTTGAACAAATACTAATAATCTTAATAAAAAAATAATATATATGACATTTAAAAAAATGTTAGTGGCTCTTTCAAGCCAGGAAAATTTTGAAAATTGTAACTTTTGGCTCTTCCGCTTCAAAAGGTTGCCGACCCCTGGGTTATGTTGAATGCAGTCATGTTAGAGATTTGGTTATGTTGAATGCAGTCATGTTAGAGATCTGGTTATGTTGACTGCAACACCAACCATCCCCTAACCCTGAAATGACGAGCCCCACACACAAATGACGAGCCCCACACACAAATGACGAGCCCCACACACAAATGACAAGCCCCACACATAAATGACGAGCCCCACACACAAATGACGAGCCCCACACACAAATGACGAGCCAAACACACAAATGACATGCCTCACACACAAAGGACGAGCCCCACACAAATGACAAGCCCCGCACACAAATGACGAGCCTCATACACAAATGACGAGCCCCACACACAATTACAATTAGAAGGAGCAATAACGACGACATGACAACAATCGCGGCTAGAAGTGCGGAGGTCCGGGTAGATAAAACTCCCCGGATGATGTATCACGTGGTACGGGATTAACGAGCAGTGCACGCCGGGTAATCGGATATTTCTCCACATTTCGCATGTTTTCTTGAAATACCTCGCCTTTTAGTGCCCGAGGGTCATGTTGAATGTTGAATTAGACCCGGGTCTCCCTCTTTCTGATGCCCGACCTCTTCACGTGGTCGTTCGTTTCATGGCTGTCTCGTGAATTTACATGTTTTATTGGGGGGGCTCTGTACTTGGGCAATTGTTGTGTGACGGTTGGGTGGGGGAGGTGCAGTTGGGGTGGGGTGGGGGGTGGTGCAGTTGGGGTGGGGTAGGGAAGGTGCAGCTGGGGTGGGGTGGGGGAGGTGCAGATGGGATAGTGTGGGGTGGTGCAGTTGGGGTGGGGAGATGTGCGGGTGGGGTGGGGGTGCAGCTGGGGTGGGTAAGGTGTGGGGTGTTTCTGTATTCGCGTCACCGGTACGTGATGTTGGGGTGAGGTGGGGGTGGTGGAGGTGGTGCTAAGGTTGGTGGGGTGTGGGATGTTTCTGTTTTCGCAACAATTATTTGTGGTGTTGAGGTGAGCTGGTTGTTCATGTTGGTACCGTGAATGGTATAGGGTGTTGGGATCATCGTCTGGAATGTATAGGATTTTTCTTAGCTCAGATACAAAACATCATAAACAAATTGTCGTAGTGAAAACTTCCATATTTAATAATCACACTAATTGTATCTTTTGTTAAAAGACAGAAGGAATGTTAATTAGATAAATGAATATGTTACACTAAAACAAGGTTGTTTTTTTTTAATATACATTTATATCGGTCATTTAATATTAAGCTTAACGGGGGCATGTTTTGTTTTATATAAAAACCATTATATTTCAAGAAAGAAGGGGAGGAAATCCACGATTGTCTTCCCCTGTCAGTCATCACGACAGATAATTAACAGGAACGATCCTTGTGTAGATTGCAACAATAATTTATCGCATGCCGTAGCTGGGGTCAGCCTGTAGCAGACGTGAGCCGACATTGACAGCTGGCATTAGCAGCCATGACCAGGGCCTGTCCTTGCCGTGGTCGGACAACACCTGTTAGTGTTAATCCAGCACCATTACACCGGCACCGTAAAGTGACCGGTCCACGCCTGGGGTGCCCCAGCCCACCCCCCCCCCCCCCCCCCCCCCAGCCCACTCGGTCCACTAATACCATACCAAACAGCGGCTTAGATTTTTTTTTATTTAAAAGAAAAAAATTGAACTGAACTAGTCGTGTCCGTCAATGTGTGGAATTTAAGTCCGGTTGGTGTGGCGAATGGGTGCGAGTGTGGTGGAGGGTGGAGTGGGGTGGTGGGGATGACGGGGGAGGGGGGGGGGGCGCAGAGGGGAGATAATTTTAATTCGAAACGTTAGTGGTTTTGTAATTCAGTCTATATTTTGGTGTCTCTGTCTTGAATTTTAATGGGAAAATATTGTTGCTGGTTTTTTTTTTTTTTTTGTTAGACGTACCACACACAAATAGTCCGCTTAAGAGAAAAACTAAATCCACAACCTAACTTGTAACCCGAGCATTAACCCTAACTATAATCGTGTCATCTTGTGGTACAGCTGAGCCAAAATTGCCTCTAGTTGAAGTAACAATGTATGGGAGAATCATTTAGAGAGGGGTGTTGTGAGGGGTGTATCTGGTACTTACCGGAGAACTTGCTCATTGTATTGTTTGGTGGTTTCGGTGAGTGGCCCATGAAGGGTTCGGGGGTTTTTCTTGACTGGCCCAAGAAGGGTTCGGGGGTTTTTCTTGACTGGCCCATGAAGGGTTCGGGGGTTTTCAGCGCTTTCGCCGCGCTACACAGTTTATAACCGAGAGCGGCCTCATCACAAGTCAACGTCTTCTGCGTGGGTTTCGAACCCGAGTTGCCCGGAGACGACGGTGCGGCTGACCTGGGTGGCGATGTGGGTGGGGGAACAGTTTCCGCACAAGGCAGCGCCTCTGAGGATGAGTCGCGGATCTCTGTCTGGGCGCCGCTCACCTCCCCCTCCCCATCCTCCCCCTCCTCCTCGGCCAGCTCGATGTTGTCACAGGGCGACTCGCTGGTCATCTTGTCCACCACGCGCTCCACGTAACTGCTCGTGTCGTTAAAGTGGCCGCACGTGTCGAAGTTGGTGCCGTGGGGCGGGGAGCAGCTGGCCACTCGGTCGTCGTCAGAGTCGGCGCTCTTGGTCTCCGCCTCTGTCTTCATGCTGCCCTTCTGTAAGGGGGGTCCGCTCGCTCTATCACAGCCTATGTCTTCGTCCTGAGGATTCAATAAAAATGAACGTCAAAATGTAGTAGTTACTGACATAGTAGTTACCACTATACCCTCGTGTCCACATGTAGACATAAACATCTATGTAAAAAAAAATTCAAGTTAAATGATGTAAATACTGAGAAACGAAGCTACACCAACACTGCCGTAGTTTGCTTGATGAACTAAATGTTAAAAACAGTTTGTCTAGTAGATAGCACAACAGTGTAACTATATCTCTATGTAGGTAGTTGACAACATAATTGAATGTCTATACGTTTTTAATGATTGTGTAATAATACAAATTGTGCTACAAGTCGATCACGAAGATATAAAATATTGTCAGAAGCCTGAATTATAACTTGTCAAATTATGAACGACGCAATGGATGATAATATAACCACACCTAATGAAGTTAGTCTTTGTTTTTAAGATAAGGTAAAAATGTAGTGATAGTTCAATTGTTCTTTTTTTACTTAAAAAAGGTTTAGTGAAAGTCAGTTCAAACCGATTGACGTAAATGTTGAGGCTAGGGCAGGGAACATTCACTGGACAGAGGGAGTGGGTCACGGAGAGGAGGGGTGAGGTAAGGTGGAAGGAGGGGATTATTGAAACGTGGGGGGGGGGTGTTTGTGAGATGGGGGGCTGGTTTACGTGAAGGAAGATCGGTGACGGAGTTTTGAGAGGTAGAGGGAAGGGGGGGGGGGGTGTGAATCGAAAGTGATAGATGTTGTGTTGAAAATATTGATAAGCGGAATATTCAAAAAAGCGAAGTTGTGGATGGGGAAGGATGAAAGTTTGAGGGGGTGTGAGGTGGGGTGTAGAGGGGGGGGGGGGTATATTCTATATTTACGTGCAGAAGCCGAAAGAGCAAGTTCGCCGTTTTCATTTTATAAAAAAAAATATATAACCGCCGGGAAAAAATTCCATTTTACAGTAACACTCTCAGCTCGATAAATCGGCCGGAGAGAATGGGAGTGATGCGAGTGAGAGGGGGGGAGATGGGGGGAGGTCTCTGACCCACGTTAAAGTGGACATTATTACGTCTATAAATCTAGAGCAGCAGACATGCAACAACGGCCGAGTTTGACGGACTTATGGTTCGATATTAAACCAAAAAAATGGGGAATTTTTTTCCTCCTTCGTGCGGTGTGGCCGGCGGAAACCAAAACTAATATAAAAAATTTGGCTTCCATTTTATTTTATTCACACTGAAATTGGTTGCAGATTTTTGTGCCGTTTCTTTTTTTTTTACTTTGCGGTGATAGTTTTCGTGTAATGTACGGCACTACAAAGCTAGCGTGAACAAATGGCTTTTACTAGCTGCCGCCTCGGTTGTATTTTTTTTTCATACACAAGGTGTTAGCTATCGAGTTTATTTTCTGTTAGAATAAATTGGACAAAAAGGGCTTTGACATGCAAACAAATCTCATAAAGGGGAGGTGAGGCTTGCGTGTAAATATTATCAAAATCACTTTGTGATTAACGTAAAAAAAAAAGTTTGGCATTTTGAGTTAACGTTGATATACACAAACAACACAATTAATTTTTAAAACATTTCTACTCATTTCAAAATGATTTAGTGGCTTTAAATAAAATTAATTTGATAGTCCAGACCAGAAGAGCAAACTGACTAAAGTTTATAATTTTTAAACTGCATTTAGAAATAAAAAAAAAAAATTAACTGTTGGTCAAATTACTTTTTTTTATGTTTGTGTTTTATATACTGAAAAAAATATTATTCCCGAGCTGGGCGGTACTGGATGGAAGGGGCTAGGAACAAAACAAGTTTGGAATCATGTAGCAAGCGGCTAGAACTGGGAGTTGATGTAGCAAGCCGCTAGATCTGGAATCATGTAGCAAGCCGCTAGATCTGGAAGATGATGTAGCAAGCCGCTAGATCTGGAATCATGTAGCAAGCCGCTAGATCTGGAATATGATGTAGCAAGCCGCTAGATCTGGGAGTTGATGTAGCAAGCCGCTAGATCTGGAATCATGTAGCAAGCCGCTAGATCTGGAATCATGTAGCAAGCCGCTAGATCTGGAATCATGTAGCAAGCCGCTAGATCTGGAATCATGTAGCAAGCCGCTAGATCTGGGAGTTGATGTAGCAAGCCGCTAGATCTGGAAGATGATGTAGCAAGCCGCTAGATCTGGAATCATGTAGCAAGCCGCTAGATCTGGAATCATGTAGCAAGCCGCTAGATCTGGAATCATGTAGCTAGATCTGGAATCATGTAGCTAGATCTGGAATCATGTAGCAAGCCGCTAGATCTGGAATCATGTAGCTAGATCTGGAATCATGTAGCTAGATCTGGAATCATGTAGCAAGCCGCTAGATCTGGAATCATGTAGCAAGCCGCTAGATCTGGAATCATGTAGCAAGCCGCTAGATCTGGAATCATGTAGCAAGCCGCTAGATCTGGAAGATGATGTAGCAAGCCGCTAGATCTGGAATCATGTAGCAAGCCGCTAGATCTGGAATCATGTAGCAAGCCGCTAGATCTGGAATCATGTAGCAAGCCGCTAGATCTGGAATCATGTAGCAAGCCGCTAGATCTGGAATCATGTAGCTAGATCTGGAATCATGTAGCTAGATCTGGAATCATGTAGCAAGCCGCTAGATCTGGAATCATGTAGCAAGCCGCTAGATCTGGAATCATGTAGCAAGCCGCTAGATCTGGAATCATGTAGCTAGATCTGGAATCATGTAGCTAGATCTGGAATCATGTAGCAAGCCGCTAGATCTGGAATCATGTAGCAAGCCGCTAGATCTGGAATCATGTAGCAAGCCGCTAGATCTGGAATCATGTAGCAAGCCGCTAGATCTGGAATCATGTAGCAAGCCGCTAGATCTGGAATCATGTAGCTAGATCTGGAATCATGTAGCTAGATCTGGAATCATGTAGCTAGATCTGGAATCATGTAGCAAGCCGCTAGATCTGGAATCATGTAGCAAGCCGCTAGATCTGGAATCATGTAGCAAGCCGCTAGATCTGGAATCATGTAGCAAGCCGCTAGATCTGGAAGCTGAAAATCCCGCGGTTACTCACGCCTGCATCGAATTTAGTCGCGATGAGAAAAATTAAATCAGTGCAGCCACTTCGACCCTCCCGGAAAGTTGATAGAAGACCCCAAAAAAAAAAATATTTCCAAAAGTATTTGATTTACTTTGAGAGCTGCGGAAGTGCGTCCACCCTCCTCAGTTCGCCAGACAATTGGCACTAGTTTGCATATGTTTTATTCGCCTCAGTCATTTTTTTGCAGTCACACGAGCGTGATTTAATTGACGTACGACCACGTCCGGGTGCTTTATGTCATTTACTGACTGTCCGTGCACACGACTGACCGCAGGGTCAGTGCAAATATAGTGCAATGACACGCCGCAGCAGAGCGGTAGTTCTCCCTTTATTTTTTTATTAAACTTTTATTAAACGTCTAATAAGACGCCCCCCCCCTACCCCGTGACACTTTCCCAACCGCCACTAGATGTAAGAGTATTGCTCTCACTGTTAACGATAAATTGTCACGATTGTGATAACGTTAGACATAGACCAACCCCCCCCCCCCCCCCACACACACACACCAAGTCTAGGATACATGTAATAAAACAAAAAACCCAGTAAAGTCGCCTGCTCTCTATGACACGGTAGAGCTGTTCTGTTTTTATGAAAATTAAATAAGACAAAGTTTATAGACAGCAAACTAAGGGCGTCGGGTCCTGTCACTCCACCACCAGATTTGACAATAATATTGTGTGATCCAACTTAGCCGACGACAGGGGCAACACTCCCAACGTCGAAGGTTTCTACAACTGAAGCTAGTTACAACAGCACGTCAAACCACCTCTCCCCCCCCCCCCCCACCACCACCTATTAAGTTGACAACCTACTAACTACATACATAACTCATTTATCACTATTAAACCCAGCAGCAGATATAAACTAACCACCCCCCCCCCCAATCACCTATTAAGTTGACAACCTACTAACTACATACATAACTCATTTATCACTATTAAACCCAGCAGTAGATCTATACTAATCACCCCCCCCCCCACACACACACACACACCACCTATCAACTTGACAACCCACTAACTACATACAAAACTCATCTATTAATATTAAATCCAGCATTAGATCTATACTAATCCTCGCCTAATACTTATGGCCTGTGTAAACCTACACCGGGTTTACCAGATAAACTAGATTAGCCAGCCCATAAACCTACCTTCCTAATGGACAACAGGTAACCTACTCAAGTTTGTAAAATATTCAATTAAGATTAGTAAGGCATGAAAATAATATGGATTCGTCAGATTCGTAAGGGGTCAACTTAATCTTAATCCGATAACGGTACTAGATGGTATACTTAATCCGGCTGAGGAATCTTACATTACGTGACTGTGGAGGTTTACATACAATTTTGAAACACGATACATTTATTTTAATGGAGCTGGCATAAAAATGGGGTCTACCCCATCAATTTTAAACAACGTTTTTTACTTTAAAACATCAGGTATTAGTTTTTAAGTACACGTAGTTTAGTGTTCAAGCGGTCATTCTTCATGCTAAAACTAAAATTGATAGAAATCCAGATACAAAAACTAGTAGGTCATATTAAGCAAGTTTTATTTTTGTAATAGACCTATTACTTTTTATAAAGAGTAAATTAAAAAACGGGAGGAGTGTAATGGCTAAACTTACGAAACGGTCTTTTCGACAGCTCATGATCCTTCATTTACTGCCAAAAGTTTTAATAGTGGAAGAGAGGTCCGTGCGTTAATAAATAAACGTGGTTAAAAATAAATAACGTTAAACAGTGTATTGTGAGGGGGTTGGTTTTTGTAATACAGAGTGGGGGATGTTTGAAACACATGCTCAAACAAAAAATACAGAATCTAGCGTCGGACGCTATTCCTCAGCTGGTCTCAGTTTTGAGCTGAGTAGAATCTTCGGTCTATAGAGGTCTAGTAACATTTGGGGAATGAAACGTTAATGCTGCCC